GGGTGTTAAATCCCAGCAGTTAAAAAAGGGGGGGGGGGGGGGTCCTCCTCTTTCCAGATTTCACACTGAGAGGGAATGACTAAAGCCTGTAACACACAAGCTTGGCCAGTAGGAGTGGGAAACAGTAGAATCAAGAACAGCAATGACTAATGTTCACTTTGATGTTGCCTGTAATTACTTTTCAGAATCCTAAACTGTCAAACTTAGAATAGTTTACCAGCAGGGGGAAATCGGAACCTTGTCAGGGGTGGAGGCATTAAGAACAATGGAGTTCTTCATGAAGACTGAAGTGAAGACTCAAAATTTTGAGGACAATAAGAATTGTAAGCAAGCCATGACAGAATTTAAAGTTTTCCTTCAAAAAGTCTTAGAAATTTGGAGAAGACCTCTAATCATAGTTTGGTGCTTAATCACTTTAGATATTAAAGGAAATCTTGTCAAAGAATAGACTTAGGAACATTCTGATTACATTTCAATTTTCATGTTTTAATTATAATATTGAATATTCTTTATTAACTATACTTCTTAAGGCCATGCTGTCCCCACAATGAGTGTCAAGTTTTCAGTTCTGAGGCCTTCTAGGCTGGACTGCATACATCACAGGTATCCTACCTAATCTTTGCCCACAAAGAGAACAAATCCTAATGGAAACAGCAAAGTCTCACTATGAATTAAAGCGCTAGACACAACATGTCAAGGCCACACTACCAACCAATCTACAGGAGAGAGCAGTCACTAATTTCTTAGGTGCTAAGGGTACAAAGCTAATTGACTTTTCTACGCAAACTCCAATTTTTTTTCTGATGAAATAACTTGAGATTTATTTCAAAAAAGAAACTACAAAGCAATCAAATGATGTAGAAACCTATTTCTGCTGTAGAATATGGGGAAAACAAATTCTGAAATTATATATATATATTAAAATGTATAGTTATACAGAGAAAATTTTCTAGAAGGATAACAAACCAAAATGTTATGTATAATTGAACAGTGGGCTATTAGATGATTTTTATATTCTTGTACTTATCTAGATTTTTTGCTTTATTGATAATCATCCAGAATAATATTTAAAAATTAGTAATGGATCATTTTAAACATATTTAGTGACACAGAAGTATGCTTAAGGTTAAAAAACAGATTTAAAACTCATGTGTTATATGATCCTAGTTTGTTGTTTTTTTTAATTATTTAATAACCACATAATAAGAAGAAGCACTTCATGACAACAGCATTGACATATTCAATAACAATTTCCAGAGCTAAGATGCATCTGTTTCAAAATTGGCAGTAAATTTTTAGATTTACATTTGAATTAATACAGTTATACAATATTGTACTCAGTATAAACCTTTAAGACATAAAATTATATGAGGTTTTAGCCAGGCGTGGTGGTGCACGCCTTTAATCCCAGCACTCAGGAGGCAGAGGCAGGCAGATCTCTGTGAGTTCAAGGCCAGCCTGGTCTACATAGTGAGTTCCAGGACAGCTGGGGCTACAGGGAGACCCTGTCTCAAAAAGAACAAAAAAAAATTTATATGAGGTTTTAACCTTTAAAAAGATCTCCATTTTGTTATTAAAATACACCATTTCATACAGAAAAATCCATTTTTAATGCAATTGACACTAAGATGTTTGCATATGTGTTTCTAATCTCTATATATCTGATTATTACTAGTCATAATTGGTTACTTTCTTAGCTCCTTGGCATCTGAGCATGGATATAAAGTCATCAAGTCATCAGGTAGATTTCAATGGTAATGTTTTTTACATCTACTAATTATTGTTTTTTAATCATTATTTTTTTATTTTTTTTTTCATACAGAAGAATTCATTCCAAAGCTATTGACATTGAGACGTTTTCACATGCATTTCTAATCTCTATATACATGACTATCACTGGTCACAGTCGCCCACCTTCTGAGCTCCTCGGCATCTGAGCATGATTACAACAGTTGAATTAATACAGTTATACAATATTGAACTCAGTATAAGCCCTGTAAGATATAAAATTGAATGTATTTTTACCCTTTAAAGAAGATCTCCATTTCAAGATATGCTCTTTCCTACATTTTTTAATATTATTAATTTTTTTAGAAGAAGCATATCATTACAGCTTTGACATGCCCAATAATAGTTTCCAGAGCAAAGACACAGCTCCTTCAAAAGTAGCTATAAAATTTCTAGGTTTGCTGTTGAATCAATACAGTTATACAATATTGAACTCAGTATAAGCCCTGTAAGACATAAAATTGAATGAGTTTTTAACCCTCAAAGATTTCCGTTTCATTCTAAAATACACTGTTTCTTACAGAAAGACTCATTATTTTTGCTACTAACACTGAGATGTTGGCACATGCGTCTCTAATCTGTATGTATCTAATCATTACCCGTCAAAATCATTTGCACTCGGATCCTTGGTGCCCGTGTATGTCTATAAAGTCATCAGGTAGATTTCAATGGTAATGTTCACCACCTCTACTAATTAACATGATGTAAACTTTTATGCTTCCTCTTCAAATATAATACATTTTTTAATTTGTTGATTTTTTTTTCTGTGTGTGTATATCACACAGAACATCCCAAACCATCTTATTCAACTATACACCCACTTCCCAGATGACACCCTCCCATAGCCTCCCTCCCCCTACTAGAGCCCTTATACTCTGATATCCCTGCTACTGTCTGCTGTGTTGTTGGCACCCCCAGCCATTCCCCACTACTTGCCCTTCTGGTGAATCTAGTCAGCCTATCTAGAGGTCTTT